GTTGTGCTTTGCTCGCTGGCTCCTGCCTTTGCCTGCAAGCAGGCACGCCCTGCTGCTCACCCACCACACGCCCGCCTGCAGGAAGGAAGGAAGCGGATCTGGGCCAGGTGACGCTGGTGCCGGGGAAAACCCCTAGAAGGACCCGGCTGGGTTCAAGGGAAAGTTCAGCGCCAGCGGAGAGGCCCTGGGAAGGGCGGGCGCCGTCAGACCCACCTGATCTGCGGGGGAGGGGGAAGGGGGGGCTGGCAATGGGGCAGCGTTCCTCCCTCCTCTTCTCTGCCCCAATGGCAGAAATGCTGGGGGGGGAGACAGTGATGGGGGTGGAAGAGGTGGCTCCCCCTCTCCGGGTGCTGCTTCCATGCTGCACAACTGCAAACACCCCCCCCCCCTTATTCCTCTCTTCCCTCCTCAGACAGCCCCACTTGCAAAGGGCACGGGAGGTTTTCTAAAAAATCTCTGACCGGATCTCTGCTGGAAAAGCCCCCGGCCAGGCGGGTCCCCACCCCTGCTCCGTCTCAAGAGGGTGGGCCTTCTGGACAGGAAGCGTGGCATCGCCCACGGGACCCCCTGCCACCCTTTCCCACAGCTTCTCTGGTCTTCTGTGTCATCTCACATAACAATCCTCTTAGAACGGAAAGGCCTGAAGGGACCCTCAAGGGATCCTGGCATCAAGGAGGTGCATCCAGGGAACCGAACTCCCAACCTCTGGCGCCACAACCCGAGACCTCAACCCTTGAGCGCTCTGGCCGCCGTTCTCCTTCGCCTGGCGGGAGCCACGTCCGCTGACAGAAGACCTGCCCTTCCCCTCTTGGGTCCTTGCCCCCCCCTTTCTTGGTCTTCAAAGCACGGAAAGGCCAGGCGGGCGATGCTCCCACCTGGCGAGGGAGGCGGTCCCTCAGCCCACCGGGTCCACGGGCCACTCTGGGTGCCCACCGGGGGGGGCGGGGGGGTCTCGGGCAGAGGGGAGGTGCCTTCCTGCCCCTCCTCCCCCCACCTGGCCAGGCTTTCCTCTGCAGCGGCAGCCGAGCCCCAACCCTGGAAGGACCCGAAGAAGACGAGGACGAGGACAAGAGGAGCAGCAACAGGAGCTTTTTATTGGTGCAAAAGAATCATTATTGCTTTAGCAAGAGTTTTCTCTTGAAAAAGAAAAAGAAAGGAAAAGGAAAGTGTTCAGGGGTTCACTGTCCCAGCTTTTTTTTTTTTTTAAAGTCAGCCTCCAAATTAAAGGACTGCAACTTGGGCCAGGATAGAAAATTATTATTATTATTATTATTTAAAAAGCAACATCACCATAGGAGTGCTTCTATTAAAAACAGAAGCTTTCTATTAAAAACCATTATTTCCTCTAAATTATGAAATGTGCAAAGTTATAAGATTAAACACTCATTAAAAGAAGCATTTTGCTTACTACCATGAAACATCACGGTTCTGTGATGTATCCTCGTTAACTAGGCATACAAGGTTTTCTTGGTCCGCATGGTCCTTGCAGCACATGGT